ATTATTATTATTATTATTATTATTATTATTATTATTATTATTATTATTATTATTATTACTATTATTATTATTATTGCTATTACTATTTTTATTATTATATAATTATTAAGAACGGAGGCAGTAGTGAGTATACACTCTAAACAAAAACGAAGAAACCTCAGCTAATTATAAATTAATTTTTAATAATTATTAAAAATTAATTAGTAGATATTAAAATAATAATATAATATTATTATTTAATACTATTAAGCATAAAAAAAAGTAATAGCACAACAGAGAAGATTTTCTCTTACTAATATAATCAGAACAAATAATAATAATAATAATAAATAATAATAATAAATAATAATACTAACAATAATAATAATAATAAGAATAATAATAATAATTAACGATAATAATAATAATAGTAAAATAATAATAAATAATAATAATACACTCTATTAATAAATGTTTAATAATAATCAAATGCTAATTAAAAGAATAATAATAAAAGTATTATAATTAAGACAATGATAACGGTGCATGCAGAGAAGGTGAAGATACACCTCAGAAGTATATTTATACTTTTGTTTGTCTTTGATTTTTTAATTTAATTTGTTTTCTTCTCGTCTGACGCAAAAGCATCTAAAGAGAGAAGAAAAGAAAAGAGCAGCAGCAGCGCATGCATCGCTTTGCTGCTATTGCCGCAGCATCAACAGCAGCAGCTGCTGCTATTGATGCTGCATCTGCAGCAGCAACAGCTGCTGCAGCTGCTGCTGCTGCATTAGGCGTTGCCGCTACCGTTGCTGCTGCGGCTGCGCCAGCCGCAGGAGCTGCTGCTGTTTTTGCTGCTGCTGCTGCTGCAGCAACAGCTACTGCTGGTTTTGCTGCTGCTGGGCAGCAACAACTGCTGCTACTTTTGCTGCTGCAGCACCAACAGCAGCTGTTGCTGCTTGTGCTGCTACCACAGCAGTAGCTGGTGCTGCTGCTGCTTTTGCTGCTGCTAAAGCAGCAGCAACAGCTGGTGCTGCTGCTGCTTTAGGTGTTGCTGCAGCCGCTGCAGAACCGCGACCTTGAAGCTGTTGCTGTTTTGTTTATTTGAAAGCCTGCTTGAGGGTCTTGCTCCTTTCGGCTCTTAGGCAGTCTCCGTGCTGCAGCAGCAGCAGCAGCAGCAGCAGCAGCAGCAGCAGCAGCAGCAGAAGCAGCAGCAGCACAAGTAGAAGCAAGTTAGCAGAAGCAGCAGCAGAAGCAGATCCAGCAAAATAGAGAGCAGCAGATAAAGAGGTAAAAGGAGACAGATAAAGACAAAAGGAGACAGCTAGAGAGACAAGAAGAGACAGATAAAAAGATAAAAGGAGACAGATAAAGAGACAGCTAAAGTGAAGAGACAGACAAAGACAAGAAGAGACAGCTCGAAGGACAAAAGGAGACAGATAAAGAAACAAAGAAGAAGTTAAAGGCGTAGACAAACACAGAAACAAAGCGAGCACCGCACAAACTGAAAAACAAACGAAGGAGACAAAACCTGCAACAGCAGCAGCAGCAGCAGCAGCAGCAGCAGCAAACTGCACAGGTTGAGGTGTACGTACACCGCAGCCTCACCTATTTCATAAAACAACTCATTTACATTCTGTCCCGTCTTTGCTGAAGTTTCGATGAAGAAGATGCCCTGCTCGTCAGCAAACTGCTGCGCCTCCTGACAGCAGCAGCAGCAGCAGCAGCAGCAGCAGCAGGAGTGCAGCAACAGCAGCAGGAGTGCAGCAGCAGAAGCAGGAGTGCAGCAACAGCACCAGGAAAGATTGCAGCAGCAGCACCAGCAGCAGCAACAGCACCAGCAGCAGCAACAGCAGGAGTGTAGCACTGCTAGCTGCTGGGATTAACGCAGCAGCAGCAGCAAAATGCAGCAGCAGCAGCAGCGCGTGCTGCAGCAGGAACGTCAGCAGTGACTTAAGCGCATGCCCTCGCGTCAGTAAACCCTAAACCCTAAACCCTAAACCCTAAACCCTCACCTGCGTTTTCACGGCTCGTTCAGCGGCGAGATCGATTTTGTTGCCCGCTAATGCTGGAAATAACAGCAACAAACCTAAACCCTAAACCCTAAACCCTAAACCCTAAACCCTAAACCTCAAACCCCAGGCTCTAAACCCTAAACCCAAGACGCTGAAGCTCTGTCCCGCGGGGTGCGCATTTTATAGCCGAAACTGCCCGCACTTAAAGACTCCAAACCCTAAAGCCTAAACCCTAAACCCTAAACCCTAAACCCTAAACCCCCGCTGACCCATAACAATAGAAGACTTGTCGCTGATTGCTTGCAGCTCCGCCACCCACGACTTCGCTCCCTCAAAGGACTCCCGGCTAGTCGTATCAAATACAATAACTGCTGCTGCTGCACCCCTGCAGCAGCAGCAGCAGCAGCAGCAGCAGCAGAAGCAGCAGCACACCATTGCTGAATCAGAGCAGCATCACTGTCAAAAGCGCAGCAAACAGAAATACGCCTGCATGATTTTGCTGCTAGTTG